CCCCCCCCCCAAACGGAAAAAGTGAATTTCCGCCACTGGAAGAGTGTATCACCCACATTGATTAAAAAAGATCAAAGGTAGTTCTCGCAGAGCTTCTTCAACTTTATCATCAGGTTCGAACATTTTCATTCTCGAAAGATATCTTGCAAAAGTATAAACTAAAACAAAAACAAAGTAAAAAGAAAGCATTGCGAACAGAAATGAAAGGAAAAGAACGATGTGCAAGCATAGTTTGATTAAAAGTTTATGTCACAAGGCCAAGTTCCCTTTTAATAGCTCTGCAGCAAATAAGAGGGCGCATTCCCTGCCGCATGTGGGACGCATTTATACATGTACTGTAACATTTGTATCAATGTAAACGTCTGGTGGCATATGTAGAAAAAAACACTGTTTAGATTTTTATACATTCTGGTTTATATTTTATATTATGCGATTCAGATTATCTATCTGATAACTCAAAATGTATTTTCTTACGGTATCTAAACAAATTTGCATTTCAGGTCATTATACATTTGTAATTTATATGGGCTAGATTCAATTGGTTGATGCTAGGTATATAAATCCTCGATTGTAAATGTACTGGTATTCTCTCACTGCACCTATACAATATAGGATCAGAAGCAAAATGAGTGAAGACGACCGTTTATTGAAAGAAACAGCCGATACGGCACAGAATACGGCTTTAGTAGACGAAGTATTTTCGATATTTAAAGGGTACCTATCCTCACAACTCGAAGAGAAAGGCAAACAATATCAGGCTAAAGCTTCTATTGAGAAGCAAGCAACAGAATTCAAATTCGAAGGCAATAGAAAGCAATTCGAATTTAACGCTCAAGTGGATGAACTCATGAGCCGTATCGTCGATAATGGTATAACGGAAAATAAGTTTGATGTACTTGCCGTGTTGGAATCTTGGCTTATGACCAGTGTGAGAAATGAAGAGGTTGAAATTTTCGGATACAGTCTATCTAGATTGGACCGGCGAGGGAGATCCGGTGGGGGGGGGGGGTGCCTATATCAAGAGCTCGTTGAAAAAGAAGGTGCTTAGGGATTTAACAGAAATTTCAGAATCTGGTTTTCATC